ATCCCTGTTTTGGTCCCTGGACTCTGCCTTCTCAAACAAGAGCCAGAAAGTCTGCAAAGGTAGAGGCCGGTCCCAGAACTGAGGTCCAAATTCCTCATACGGACACTCTTCATGCCACATTGAATCATCTGAGTCCTGAGTCCATCTTTGGGGTTCAGCGATAGCTTGCAGGAAGGGTATTTTAGTCACACAGTTTTCTAAGTGTATGCGTGTGCACACATATACTGTTCTTAGGAGTACAGATGATTCAGATTAAGAAATTCCACCTTCTGTTCTCGTTGTAAATACAAAATAGATTTCAGCTAAGCTCTGTCTTGGCAGACATTGTGCCACTGGGAGACTGTTTTTAGGCCCCCTTAGGTCTTGGGAAACATTTGTGTTTTTGATTCTAATGTACTAGCTGATTGACAGTCCTCAGCATAAAGTGCTCACTCCTTCCCCTGGCCTTATAGGGCTGGCATTGGCTGACCTCTTCCTGCCTCTTCTCTCAACTAAACTGAAGCCATCGACACCTCACTTTGGCTCCCAAGCCACTGTAGCCTGTTTATTCCACCACCCTCTGAGCTCAGCCCTGGCCTCAGGCCTTTGCATTGTGTACTCTGCTTGAACAGCTCTTTGCCATCGGCTCTCATTAGCCATTCTGGTCCTAGGGTAAATATCAGCACCCAGAGGCCTTCCTTGATCGCTTTATGCAGAGCAACCCCTCCCTAAGCCAGTTACCGCTTACTGTTTGATTTTCACACCATGTGAGTTTTTGTGAGTTTTTCCACTTTCCCACCATACACCCCTGCCAACACTCCTAAATAGTGGCCATCACACACTACCTGTTCCTTGAGAAGTGAATGAATGGGTGAATGAATGAATGGTTTCTGGCAGACTGATGGTGTTTATTCACTATATCCTTGTAGGGTTCGGGGAGTAGTGAGAAGGCCTCAGGTCCACAGTCCCCCATCTGCTGGGACCACCAGAAGATGACCAGCATTTCAAGGATTCTGTTGCGATTCCTCCAGCCCCTACACCTCTGCTCCTGCAGTCTCTTCACCTGGCCCCCCCTCTATAGATGTCTGACTGTTGGAATCTCACTCAGCCTTCAAGGCCCAACTCAAATGCCTTGTGCCTTGGATTCTCCCTTGACTCAGTTGGAAGGACTTCCGTCCTCTGAGCTCCAGCGGGCTTCTGGCTATGCCTTTGTGTAAACACACATTCCTCTACACTGAGAACAACTCAAGGGCAAAATGTCTGTATTCCTTTTTGGTAACCGTCAGCACAGGGCAGGAGCTCAAAAGACATCCCAGACTGGTCGGCAGCGGGGAGATTGGCTGACAGCTGGATCAACACGGGGGTCGATGGCTCAAGACTTGACTCACAACAGGGCCACCACCCTGACTCCCTGGACAGCCTCGGACTGAGACCCCAAGATCAGGTTCCAGTCCAGACTTTGCCTTTTTCTAGCTGGGACTTCAGGCAAATTACTGCTCTGGGCCTAAATTTACATGTCTGTAAAATGGATTAGTTCTTTGAAGTGCTTGGCACTGATGACTAGCACAATAAAAAACTCAAGCCCTGGCTGGGTAGCTCAGTTGGTTAGAATGTCATCCTGATACCCCAAGGTTGCAGGTTTGATCCCTGGTCAGGACACATACTAGAACCAGTGAGTGCATAAGTAAGTGGAACAAGAAATTGATGTTTCTCTCTCTGTCTTCCTCCCTCACTCTCTCCTCCATCCCTTTACCTCTCCCATCCTTTTTCTAAAATCAATTTTAAAAAATAGAAAAACCTAATAAATAAATGTCAACATGATGATATGGACACAGGTCAGAGCCTAGCCTGGAACTACTTCTTCCCAGTTCAGGGACCAGGGGCATGGAGGTAAGCTCAGGGACTCACTGCAGAGAGCGGTCTCAGCAGGAACGCAGGACAAGGCCCTATTTGCCCACATTCCTCCCTCCCTTCCTCCCTCCCTCCCTCCTTTCCTTCTTTCTACAGGTGTTTGCTGATCATCTACTATGTGCCAGGCACTGGCAATTCTGCATGGGAAAAAACAAAGTCCCTGTCCTCATGGAGCCTGCATTCTAAAATAGTAAGTCAGAGAATAAATAGAAAATAAACAGATACATCATATCAAACAGTGGAAGCCCTCTAAATAAAATCACAGGGTTTTATAATAAGGAGTGACTGGGGGTGATCAGAGAAAGCTTTTCTAAGGAGGTGTATTTAAGCTGAAACCTAAAGAATGAGAAGGAAGCATCTGGGAGAAGAACATTCCAGGAGGGAGATGAGCAATTTGAGGAGCAGAGAGAAAGGTAGGGGAACTGGAGCAGAGTGGGCAGAAGATAGGACCCTGGGCACGGAGACCAAGGGGTCTTTGGGGGCAGAGCCCCAAGGACTCGTGGCTGCCCTAAGAGGTTTGGAGATTATTTGAAGTTTGGTGGGAAGCCAGTGTGGGGTTTTGAGCAGGGTAGTGACACGATCTTATGTTTTGAAAAGACCGAGTGGTGGGGTGTAGGACGGCCTGGGGAGGGATGGGGATAGGCAAGGAACGATGGAGGCCCAGACAAGAGTGGAGGTGGTGGAAAGTGGTCCCGTCCAGAGTATTTGGGCGATAGAGAAGCAACAGGACCTGCTGGTGCATGTGGACATGACAGAAAGTGAGGCACCAGGAATGGCTCCACCGCCGACGGTTGGCGTGTACCGATGAGTGAGACTGCAGGGGGAGCCAGCTGGAAAAGATGGGTGATGCGGGTTGTGATCTGGACACGTAAAAAAGTGCGTGCTGCCTGCAAGAGAACATGCAGGTGGACGAGCCTCGTGTTAGTTGGATAACACAAGTTTAGAGGTTAGGGCTGGGGTTACAGATTGGGGACTCATCAGCATAGAGATGCTTATTTATTTATTTATTTATTAGTCCTCACACAAGGGTATATCTATTGACTTCAGAGAGGGAAGGAGAGAGAGAGAGAAACTATCATTGGTTTGCCTCCCACATGTGCCCAGACCGGGGATCAAACTGGCAATTTAAGGTCTGGCCCCAACTGGGGATTGAACCTGCAACCTTTCTGATGTATGGGAGGGCGCTCCAATGAACTGAGCCGCCCGGCCAGGGCAAGAGCACACTGCAAAGGTCACCTGCGGGAGAATAAGTGAATAGGAAGGAGGAACCAGGAAAAGGTGGTTGAGGAGGGAGGAAAACCAGGGGAAGGTGTCACCAAAGCCAAAAGGAGATAGTATTGCAAAGAGGAGGTGACTAGCTGTGACAAATGCAGTTGAGTGTTTGAGGTGGGTGAGCATGGACCAGAGGTTTGGTGACATGGAAGCTGATGGGACTCGAAGAAGAGCACTCTGGGTGGGCAGAGTCTCGGAGACCAGAGCTACCTAAGGAGAGGCGCGTGCCGTGTAGATGGTCTCTGGGGCCCTTCTTGGTGAGAGAGAGGAGAGAATGGAGGTGCATGTGGTGGGGAGGTGGGGTCAGAGGAGGGGTCTGCTTGTGTTTTAAGACGGGAGATATTACAGCACGTGTGTGCGCTAATGGGAGAGATCAGGCAGAGAAGGGGAACTTGAGGGAGGAGAGAGAGAAGGTAATTACAGGAGCAAAGCCCTAGAGAGGAGCTGGTATCCAGTGTCCCAGTGGAGGGGCTGACGTCCACAGATAGGACTGGGGACAGATCGTCCGAGTCAGCGCAGGGGAGGGTCAGTGGGCAGAAGCAGGCACCCAGGCTGGGTGCAACTCAGGGAAGACAGAGGCTCCTGATGCGTTGTGCTCCCACCCGGCCTCTAGTGCTGCCCCAGTCTTTCCTGTGTGTCTTTGGGCAAGTTACTGAATCTTTCTGGGCTGTGCTTTCCTGGGGGTAAAATGAGAATCACAGTCCCTGTCAGTCTTCTCTCTCTGGGTTAACACACTTGGCCCAGCCTACCACTGGCTTTGACCTGAGGCCAAGGTCATCTCAAATGTCAGCCAAGCCTTTTCACTTAGCAGATGTCAGGGGTCCAGGGGCTGTGCCCCTATATCCCCAGACTTTTAGACCCTGAGGACAGCCTGAATAAAAAGCCTGCCGCTATTTCCTTATCTGTGACAAAAGGAAGAAAATGGCTCAGCAGGCACTTCTGGGACTGTGGGGCAGGGCCAGGGCCACACTTCCAGAGGCAGCGCGTAGACAGAAGACAACAAAGGCTTTGGAGCTAGACCACACCCCCAGCTCTGCCACTTTCCAATCACGTGACCTGCCAGAGAGAGATTTACTGTGAAGCTTGAGCTTCCAGGCCCTTGTCCTAAACAGCCCCTTCCCCAAGCCCAGCACTAATTTCAGATGTGTAATTTTGTGTTCTTTTACTTCCAAGAGGACCCCCAAAGTATATAATACCTGGGATTGCGGGGGCCGAAGGCAGTGACCCCTCCCTCTCGATGCAGGGTGTCTGTGATGCCCACTGACAAGATCCTACCCTTGCTCCTCAGCGGACAGTGCTCAGGATCACAGGTGAGTACCAACCTTTTTTTCCTCTTTATACTCTTTTTTCTTTTGAGGGTGTTTATTTATTTCCTTTTTTAAAAATTTTTATCGTTGACACTATTTATTTATACTCTTAATGGCACACACTGCCTGAGGCCAGCCTCACCCTATTTCCCTTCTGTCCCCTCCAGCGGCTAGCCCTGCTTGTTAGCCACTGAATCTGGTCCGGGGTAGCGTGGGCACATAGTGGGCAGATAACCCCATCTGCTTCCACCTGCACCTCTTTTTGTGAATTGGCTTCCTAATTCCCAACGCAGTAGATTTCCATGTGCTCCTAAACACCTCACCTTGGGCTGCTACTACTGGGTGACAAGTAAATGCCCCCTTGGATCTCTTAACCCTCATCTCTCAGAAAGATCAGGAGATTGTAGCCTCACGTCCAGGCTAGGAGAAATGAGTAGGTTAAGCTGGCCCTAAGGATTCCCAACACTGGCCCAAACAGTCCCTCTCCTGCCCGCTTAGAGCTCCTCTGTGCCCAGAACCCCAAGTCCTTACCTTTTCAGGGAGTAAGATGGGCAGAGGCAGCAGGAGAATGGGCAGGATGACCACAATCAGGTAGAAGCGATAGGCCCAAAGGGCCTTCCACGTGGTGACCATGGTGTGGACCCAGGAGGGCTGCTGGGGCCACGTCTCTCTGGAGTTCAGGGAACTGAAGGACTGACTAAAGCAGGTAGGTGGCCAGGGCAGGCTTATATAAAGCTGGTGGAGCATTAACCATTGACCCACCCTGGCAATCAGTGTTTTTGGAGTCCGGGGATGAGAGTGAGGAGGAGGGACTTGCAGGAGGTATAAAGATCAGGAAGACTTTGCCAAGACGGGAAGGAGGGTACGATCAAGGAGTGAAAGCTTCAAGCTCTTACAAGAAGTTAAACACAGAGTTAACTCCTTCTGTCCTTGAAGGCTTAATGAAGGCTTCGGCCAGAGGAGCTGAGAAGGAAGGGTACCCGGGAATCCCCACAGCTGGCCCCCACTCCCTGAGCTGCCTCCACAGCCCAGCCTGCACTCCCTCCTTCTATTCCCCAGACCAGGCTCCCTGTGAACTGTGCATATGGAGGGCCGGGTGTCGGGCAGGCTTGCCCTCTAGGAGTTTCCAGTCTAAGGCTGTGGGCAGCCCTCCTCCTCCTTCCCAGTGTTTAGGAAACTGCACTATCTCTTACTAAACTTGTGATGTTGATCAACTGACTTAACCTTTCAGAATAGACACTTCCTCGTTCTGCTGCAATATCTTCCTATCATGAAGCTCAAATTAGGCAATTTATGGTATGTTGAGCTTTGACATGTGACTGGCATACAATAAGGGTTAGGGTTGTTTTTGTTTGTTTGTTTGTTTGTTTGTTTGTTTGTTTTTTGTAGGTGTTTCCTGAACTGTCATGGGGGACCAGCAAAGATTGTCTCGTATTTAGAAATAATCTCTCCATTTATTCATTATCTATTCATCCATCCACCAAACAAGTATTTGGTACCGATTATATATTCAGCCCCATTTGGTGCTAAAATGCTGCTGGCAATAGCTAACATTTGTTCAGCATGTAGTACAAGCTGTTTAGTGTACTATTGCATTTACCTGGTACAACCCATACCATGAGTTAGCTGTTACTATTCCATTTTATAGGTGGGGAAAGTGAGGCCCCAGGACACAGAGATGACCAGAATTCAAACAGTTATATGACATTTAACATTGGAGATGCGTTCTGAGAAATGCATTGTTAGGCGATTTTGTCATTGTGTGAACATCATGGAGTGCACTTACACAAAACTGGATGGTCTAACCTACTACACACTTAGGCTCTATGGTACAGCCTATAGTGCCTAGGCTACAAACCTGTACAGCACATTACTGTACTGACTACCGTAGGCAATTTTAATGCCTTGTGCTATGACATTACAATGGCTATAGCATTACTAGGTGACAGGAATTTTTCAGCTCCATTATATCCTGTGGGACCACTGTTGTATTTGTGGTCTGTCGTTGCTGGAAATATCATTACTCAGCACATAATTGTATGCTCTATGAGCGCCCTGGGGAGGTTCAAACCAGTACAGGAGCTCCAGGCCAAAGGAGAATACTGGCAGTGCAGGGCAAGGGCTCCTGGAGTGCCTGTGCTAAAACTTGGAAGTTGAGCCTAGTTTGGCCACAAGGTGACAGAGGAAGGATCACAAGCAGGTGGAAGAGTGAAATAAGGCTTGGAGGGTGGCATGCGTGGTCACAGGTGTGTAAGTGTTGGAGGTGCCGGTTGTGGGCTGGAAGGAATTGCCTGTTGTCTGTCTGGACAGAGTCTCTGTCTCTTGGTGCCTTCACCTTTCCCCAACCCACACCGCACACAGTAGAAGCTCAATCCATATTTCTGTTGATTATTAGAGTATGATGGTCTATCTGTGCCAAGGTAAGCAGGCAGAGTACCATTAGAGAGAAAGTTTCAGGAAGTAAACACAGCCTGGGGGAAAATGTGGAAGGCTGGTGGAGTTTAGAGAACAGAAGCTTCTGTGTGGTTGAAATATGGGTAGATGGGGGGGCAGGATTAAGGGCCAATAATCACATTTCCAGGGTATACAACAGCAAGACCTGGGCTGTTATGCCAGGGAGATCCTCCTGGAGCCCCTGAGGTCTGTGCAACGAGGACGCGCAGTGCCTTCTGTTGGGTGGGCAGAGAGCTATGGGCAGGTCCAGGTGGCAGGACTCCTGGCACCAAGCTGTGTGGGAGGCCACAGTAAGACAGGACAGACTGGCCACAGCCACGCCTCCGCTCAGACTATGGCCTCTCCACTCCCACAAAGTCTACCTGCCACCTGCTCAGGGCAAGGTGAGGAAGAGTCAGGAAGCATAGAGATAAACAAAGGGTTTCCTGTACCCAAGACAATGCCCCAGTTCTGCTCACCTTGGAGGAGGCCCCTCCCTTGGCCTGAGGCTCTGCAGACTCCCCAGGGGGAACGGGGCTGGGCCTCCCTCTGAGGAGCAACCTGCACTAGAGGTGTAAGCGGCATCCCAGGTGGCCCAGCTCTCTGCACCCGCACTGTGGGGCAGGCTCAGCGCGGCGGTGTTACTTGCCCAAGGTCACGTAGCTTGTGGGTAACGGAGAGAAAACGCAGATTCACAGCCAAGACCGTCTATGCTCTTTGCCTAGCTTTCCATGCCCTGGTCCCCTGTGATGGCAAAACTCGGGGTTTCCAAATTAGATGGCTACTCCTTTCCTGAGACACCAGCCCCCACCCCGGTCTGCACCTACAGCCCCCTTCAAGGTCATATGCTCTTAGCACCCTCGCTGACCCTCTTTTGAGGACCAGTGTTGGGGCGCTCTCGCACCCCAGCAGCCAGGCCCCATCGACGATGAATTCATATGAGAAGCAGTGTCCTGAGGCCCGCGGGAAGCCTCCCACTGTGATGCGCATCACAGGACTTTGCCCTTGCCAGTCACAGCCAGGGTCCCACTCTGCCAGGCCTTGTTCAGTTCTCCATCTGCCCCACCTTCTTTTCTTTCAGACTAGATCAGCGCGTTCAGGGTGGTATGGCTGTAGGCCCACCTTCATTTCTTTCAATTAACTCTGGAAATAACTGTTCTTTTTTTTTTTTTTTTTTTCCTCACAGCTCCTAATGGACTGTGGACAACTTGTGGCAGGTGCTGAGGTTGTCTTTCTTTAGTTTTTTTGAGGTCCCTCCTGTAACAGGTGCCTGTATTATCTCAGGGACAAGTCATTTCAGAAAACACCTATCTTGCACTTTGACCATTGATCCTCCAGGAGAGGGCCCTAAAACCCAACGCAGTTCTATTGAATGCCCTATACGACCCCAATCACAGCACATATCACACTGCATTTTTTTTCTCCTGATAACTTGCCTATATCCCCCACTGGACTATAAATTCTGCAGGGAAAAGGTCTTGTGTATCATTGTGTATAGGAACCTTTTCAGCCTCTTGAGTTGATACTCAATGAATGTGTGTTAAAAGAATAGACGGATGGGTGGGTGGATGGATGGGATGACCATATGAAAACTTATAAAGTCCATGTCAGAGAGCCAAGCCCTCCTTCCAACATGTTCTGGGGCTGGTTCCTGGTTCTTCAGATAGGCTAGATGAGGGCCATCAGTCAGGTAACAAGTCAAAAAAGTAAATAGGTTTTCCTGCCCTGACCGGTGTGACTCAATTGGTCAGGTGTCATCCTGCAAAGCGAAAGGTCACTGGTTCGATTCCCAGTCACAGCACATGCCTTGGTTGCAGGTTTGATTCCGGCCGGAGTGCATACGAGAGGCAGCTGATCAACGTCTCTCTCTCACATCAATGTTTCTCTCCCTCTCTTTCTCCCTCCCTTCCCCTTTCTCCAAAAATAAGTAAATAAAATCTTTAAAAAAAATAAAAAAGATTGCCAGGTGTTCAGAAGATCACAAGAGAAATTATAAGTGCAGGCAGGGTAGGAGAGCCTTTGAAATTCTGTGTATATTGTTTCCACTACCTGGGAAAGAAAGCCTTTGAAACTGTATGTTAATCCCAAGGTCCAGAGAAGGGAGGAGTAAGAAGAACCTAGAAGCTGGCTACAAGCCAGCTTCAAAATCCCTAAAACCCCAATAGACAGGACACTCAGACTAGCTAGGTGCTCACTTATAGCTTTGTACTCAAGTGTATTTCATAAGTAAACTTGCTGTCTCAGTTCCACTGTATGTGTTTTCTCTTGCCTGAATTGATCATTTGTGAATGAGACAAGAGTCAAGGATGGGGAACCCCCTAAATTGGGTCTCCCCAGTAACACATCTGCTATGGCTGCTGGAGGCTGTGCAGGGATCCAGGGAGTGTTTTGATGCTCAAAGGGACTCAAGGCTTATTTAGATACAGTCAACCCAAGAACCTCCTCTCTGCTCTACCAAGCAGTAAGTTCATCCCTCCTTCTTCCAAGTCTCCACGCCCAGTTTCCTTTTTAAAAAAATTGTGATAATATGCACATATCATAAAATTTACCACCTTTACCATTTTTAAGTGTACATCCCAGTAAAGTTAATGATAGTCTTGTTCTCTTGCAACCAATCTCTAGAACTTTTTCACCTTGCAAAACTGAAACTGTATTTGTTAAACAATAACTCTCCACCTCCCCACTCCCTCTAGCTCTAAGCAACCATTATTCTACTTTCTGTTTCCGTGTGTCTACATTAAATACTTCATCTAAGTGGAATCATATAGTATTTGTTTTCTGCGAATGGCTTATTTCACTTAGCAAATATCTTTAAGGTTCATCCATATTATATATAGTGTGTGTCAGAATTGCCTTCCTTTTTAAGGCTGAATAATATTCCATGGTATGTACATACTATATATTGTTTTTCCATTCATTTGCTGGTGGACACTTGGGTTGCTTCTACTACCTTTTGTCTATTGTGAATAATGTTATTATGAACATGGGTGTGCAAATACCTCCTTGAGACCCTACTTTCAATTTTGTTCCACAGATACCCAGAAGTAAGATTGGTGGAGCAAATGATAATTCTATGTTTAGTTTTCCTGTGCATACTCCATACTGTTTTCCATAGTGGCTATACCATTTTACATTCCCACAAACACTGCTCAAGGGCCCCAATTGCCTCAATCCTCACCAACACTTACTATTTTATATTTTTTGTTTTTTTTTTTAATAGCGGTCATCCTTGTGTGTGTGTATGTTTTGGGGAAGAATTTATTTATTTATTTTTAGAGAGAGGGGGAAAGGAGGGAGAAAGAGAGGGAGAGAAACATCAATGTGAGAGAGAAACACTGATTGGCCCCCTCTGGGATGCGCCCTGACTGGGGACCAAAGACACAACACAGGCATGTGTT